TGTTCGTCTGTCCGGGTGTTTCAACTAGCCAACCACGCAAGCTTTGAAGCTGGAATTTTGCCAGTGGTTCCTCAGCCAGGTGCCACCCCCAAGACCGCGATATCAACTCTCACGCACGATTGGGCCCCGTTTACGAGTAAGTGAAATTTTTGGCGCAAAAATTGCTAACTCGGAAAATAGGAAAGCTAGAAAGCTGGAACCTTGGGGGAACGTTCTCTACCCATCTACGACAAAAAGATTTCAAATTCAGCTGCCCAGGTGTAGCCGGTGCTTACGTACGGGCACGTAAAAATTATGGCGAGAAAATTCATAACTCGAAGATGAGAAAAGCTAGAAAGTTGAAATTTTGGGGGAATATTCCCTACTCATGCACGACCAAAAGTTTTCGAACTCAGCTCCTTAAGTCTGCCTGGGGCTCAAGTACGCGAACGTGAAAATTTTTGGCGCGAAAATTACTAGCCCTGGAACGGGAAAAGCTAGAAAGCTGTAACTTTAAGGCAGTGTTCCCTACTCATGTACGAGCAAAAGCAGGTGGTTTTTAACCACGCGCCCGAGTCCGTATACGAGCGCGTGGAAGTTTTGGCGCGAAAATTACTAACTCGGGAACGAGAAAAGCTAGAAAGCTGAAACTTTAAGAGAATATTCCCTACTCATGTACGAGCAAAATCAGGTGTTTAGAAGCGCCCAATCCCATGTACGAGCGCGTAGAAGCTTTGGCGCGAAAATTATTAGCCCGGGAACGGCAAAAGCTGGAAAGCTGAAACTTTAAGGGAATGTTCCCTTCTCATGTACGAGCAAAATCAGGTAGTCAAAAGCGCCCGAGCGCACATGCGAGCGCGTGGAAATTTTGACGCGAAAATTACTATCCCGAGAACAAGAAAAGTTAGAAAGCTGAAACTTTAAGGGAATGTTCCCTACTAATTTACGACCAAAATCAAGTGTTTAAAAACACCCAGGCCCACGTACAGGCATGTGGAAATTTTGGCGCGAAAGTCACTAACCTGGGAACGAAAAAAGCTAGAAAGCTGAAACTTTAGGGCAATGTTCCCT